AGTTTCTATCTGTGTGAAAAATATTCGCCATTTGTATTTGTAGATTACGTATTGTAGGTACCGTTTTGAATACGAAACACACTGGCGGTTTTCTTGAGCTTTTTCTAAATGAAATAAAGCTCAAACAATAGTAATAAAATGAAGTTTGAACTTTGATTATTAGTTATCGATAGACAATTGAGGGATACAGGTAGGGTTGCCACCTTTTCAGGCTTTACATTAAGTATTTCTCGACTAAAAGGTTCAAAAAAAAGTACTCTGCATAAAAATAAAGTATTTTATCTTTTGTTTTTAAAAACAAATTTTTTGTTAAACCTAGCAGCCAGTAACAAATTGCTGTCGCTCTTAAATACATTAATAGCCTCTAAAGATGGCAAACAAAGATTTAAGTAAACTGAAAGTTCATTATTAATTAGTTTCAATGAAGGTTTATTCCCGTCGTCCAGCCACTTTGCGTTCATAACGGAGAATACTCTTTCTGTAAATGCTGAAGTGGCCGAAACGGACAGCAAAAGTGACAACCCTGAACAGATTTGGGAAATCAGGTTGTTCCGTAAATATGGCTTGCTATTTTTTCTGTGCAATATTATTGATGGAAAAATACTCTGAATTTCGAATAATCGCTTACAAAATTACGATGTTTACTTAAGGCCTTAAATAAAGTATTTTTGCATACTTTATGTGTCTTATAAAGTATAACGTATGCACAGTCGAAATAGAGTACAATACTTTATAATGAAGTACGGGTGGCAACCCTAGATATGGTAGTGACTGGCAGCAACCCTGATTCACATCTTTCAAGTGATACACTTTGGGTTTATGTTAAGTTATGGTGAGAGAGGATTCTGCTATTGGCTAGATTATGGTGAAAAACGTATGAAAAATTATTGTTTCGACACAAATACAAGCAAGTGATATAAGAACAAAGACTTTCACGGCAGGAATCCAGAATGGGATTCTCTGGTTGATGAGTCGGTAATTGCATGACATCTCCAGTGGATACTGCGCTGATAACTGTCACTGTCCACGTACCCACGTTATCAACGTAGCATCCAATGAAAATTTTCAGCCATAGTTGCCGACGAATCGTCTGGACTTATCGTTCATTTCAACCACGGCTTATAAGCCCTAACTTGGGATGTTCCATGTAATGAAGCAACTAATAATTCAAATAATGTTGTTTTGAAAAAGTAAATCCGAAACGAACGACGTCCTTCATTGCTTATTGGTTAGGCTTGTTTCAGGTTTCTGAGGTTCATTTTTACCGTCTTCAGATTTGCTGACAGTACTGTACTTTTACATTCCGCTTCTCGTGGAGTTTGTTCGACAAATCCGTTTTGCCAAGATCTAATAAACCGTTCCTTTCGCGAGTTCGCACACAAAATATATTCACCTGGCCACAATATTTTCCCCAGAAAACGAATTTTTTGACATCGAATCGTTAAAGACAACTTTTCGTTGATGTTCACACGACATTAAACTAACTTAAAGGAATATGGAATTCGTTTGGATTAATACTGTGCCTCATTGAATTTCTGATGTTGNAAGTAACCATGAAATACAAAAACATCCCATTGAAACATTATTCAGAAACACCTCTATTCATTTCTATAATAATCGCAGATGACCCGTCTCTAGTGATGAGCAAAGTTGGTCTTCGTCTTGCAGTCTTGGTCCTAGTCTTTCTAAGATCCCAACTAAGACCGAACGAACAAGACCAAGACTAAAACCAAGATCGAATATGCAAGACCAAGATCAAATACGCAAGACTAAACCAAAAGTTATTACTTCCTGTGGATTTATTATTTGAAGCAACTTTAATGTAATTTTTTCTTGGAATAAAACATCTTTTGTATTTGACATGTTCAGTTTGCTTTACTGACTTTTAACACTGAATATAAAAAAAAAGAAACTTTATCACTAATTGAAGAAAGGCATCTACAGGAATGTCCTCGGACTAAGTGTTATTTGTTCCTGTCTGGATAACACGTGGTTGAAATATAGGGACAAACTAATTTTCTTTTTGGAATATTTTTCACATCTTTCAAGTACCTTGTACCATTTTGTTCACTAAGAGGTTAATTTATGCGTTGAAGGAAGGGTCAATTTATGTATTGGGGAAAGGGTAAGTTTGCGAGTTTCCACAACTCTCGCAACTATCGACACTATTTTCTTCAAGTCATGACAAGCTCGCATGTATGACAGAAAATTTCAGAATTTAAGACAATTATTGCGTCGATAAATAGAAAATTTCTTTTAGAAGAATGATTCAAAAGAAACGTAAGTATCAGATTAAATGAGCAATGAAGATTTAACAGGCAATACCACGATTAGAAGTTTTTCAGCAAGATCAACACCATGACCGAACAAGCAAGACCAAGATCAATTTCAAGACTGGGACAATCTCGGACTTAGTCTTGCTTTGCTCATCGCCACTCATTTCAAAGGGCGCAATAGTGGTTTTTTTCTTAATCCCTTATTTAAGTTACAAGAATATCTAGTATTTGATGGATGCTACTTATATTCATCATCATATGGTCGTCAGTTGTAAGACTGGTTCGACACGTACCTCCACTCTTTCCTATCCCGAGCTAATCTTCACATTTCCCTAAAACTAGAACATTCCACATCCTTAACTATTTGCGAACAGTAATCTAATCTAGATCTACCTATACCTTTCCTAACTCCTGTTTCTGCCTCTAATATGTCTCTGACTAGACCTTCATACCAATCTAACTCGCCTATTTTTTACGGACTTCCATAGATTCCTCTGTTCTCCTATTCTTTCTAATATCTCTTCATTTCTAACCTTCTCTATCTACGATATCTTTATCATTCGCCTCTAACACCACATTTCGAACGCTTCTAACCTATATATATATTACGATAAATAAAAATAAAGTAGGTAAATGTGTACATTTTCCGGTAAAAATGCACAACCTCCAATGGCCATAAAAAGTTAAGTCTGCCACGAAAATATTTTTCGAGCGAATGAATGGGAAAACGAATTCCTGGATCGTTTCATCGTTTTTCACTTTCGGTTTCCTTCAAGTGCCGATGTTCAGGTGGTGGTGAACTTTTAGTAAGCAACAGGCGGTCGATCAACTAACCGACCGAAAGGAAGAAAGAGAAACATAAAACCCACCTTGACTAACGATAACAGTCACCGTTAGTAGCGAGCGACATTACGGACGCCCTATCTTCCTTTCATTGACGACGCCCGTCGCCGTCGAATACGAATCACGGAAAAATGAACCTTTCCAGTCTAATATTGAACTTTTTATAATCTAGTACCTTCAAAATTAATTATGTCTTTATTGAAATTTTCCGGCAGAAGCGCTTCACGTAACTTTTAATACAATAATGCATCTACAGGTACAGTAAAAGCAACGTTAAATCAAACCACTTTTTTTAAAAACTCCTTCCAAAGAACGTCTAAGTAACTGTAAGAAGCTCTACAGGTTAAAAATTGTTTTTCTCAATCAGCAAAACATTTCTACATATCACCAAGCAATGGCGATTCTGCTAAGTGTAGTTTGAATCCCCCCAAAACAACCAACAGGATTGGCATCGAGACCAGAACAATCAGTTCCGATCCTGCGCTATACAATTCTTTGTTTTGTAGAAATAAACAATAATATAAATTTATACTTGTGGCTCTTTTAGGCTTGCCAAAGAAGCCATTGTTGTTTTTCAAACCACCCTATCAGTTACTTTTGCTTTGTCAAGTTATTTAGAGTAGCCAAAAAATAAGTACTTAATGATTAACGATGTCGCTCTAACTTCAGTAAATTTGTTACTACATATACATTAAAACATGGTCGAAGAAAAGCAGGATTCAAATGAAAATTGGTTATATAATTTTATTGCTGTTCTATTTTGATGTTTACGGTAAATAATTAATGTCATTATTAATAATCAGCAATGAAAATATATCGTTATATCCAAGTCAAGTCAAGATTTGCGGAACTATTAAAAACTAACGTTATATCAGAATTATGGTTACAAGCAACATCTCTAGTCGAACGATTTACAAATAAAAAATTGCATTTCTAACATCTTCAAGGCGTTATCTTGTGGAAGGATGAAGTTTGAGGGTCGACGGATTACTGTCACAATGTAACACGGCCACTGGCCATCCGACCACCTACAACTATCCTTCTACTCGTGCCGGTCAATATCCGTCCAGCCTGCGCCTTGGCAGAAGTGACGCCAAAATCCCGACGCCGGCGTCCGTCGTCATGCCGCATAACTCGCGACATGACATGATGTGACGTGGCGCGAGGGCATCGTTTCACGTGGCTTCTACACGACCGTTTGATGCAGCGTAATAGAGAGAGGAAACGGGTGAAGTGTGCACGTATCTGTGTGAGGATGTGTATGTGTTCAAAGACAACGTGGAAGGACGGGAATAACAGCGAGAAAGAGGGCAGATGAAGAGGGATGAAGAGCAGAATGCCTCCGCGACTTCGCTCTCTGATAAATGAGGTTATTTCGTAGTAATAAACGATCCCTGATGTTTATTCGTTCTTGCGGGAAAAAAACTACTATAACGTAGAGAAATGAACACGATGAATTTTTCTCGAAATCCAGAGTATAAAGAGTCGTTCCCGGCGGAATGAAAACAATAAATACACCACCACCGAGTGATGACATAAAGTTTCCGGTGGAAAATTAACAACGAACTAGAGTTTCCCGATGTTAATAGATGTGATTGAATAAAAACCGCTTGATGTCAAAATCACATCGGGTTCCAAAGTAAGCAACGCCGGGAACAAATAGACGTAACACCTAAAGAGCAGTTCCCTTGGGATGAAATTAAATGGCTAGTACTTAATAAGGCAAAAACCAATCCAGGGCTAGCGGTAGCAACGTTTTGGGCAGATAGTACACAATAAATTAATATTTTCATTATATATATCATTTTGGCCCAGTTTGAACAGATGATGTTTCATTTAAATTATAAATGAGCATGCAATAAAAATGTTATAAAAACTCACCATACATCTTTCCTTCGTCAGAAAGGATGATTTTCCGTCTTCCACATGGAGGATAAATGGCTAAAGCTTCTTGGAAGCTTTGTTCGATGTCCGGACTCCACACACCTTCANAGTGTATTAATTAAAGATGTCTATTTATAGATTATAAACATATACATGCATTTCGTTTGCAGAACAGGACCCTACACATTAGCGCATAAATTTTATCTGCTACATTAGCTTCCATCAGGGCTTTCCTTCCACTTCAATAATCGGAAATAACGCCGCTACAATTTTCGAAGTTTATGATGCACCTGTTACTCCATAAAAAATAATAATGACAAACGCAATTACGAAAGGAAAAACAGAAAGGGAAACGAATAGCAGTGAGTTTTTGTACACTAACACATCGAAAAACAAACAGTAACATAAATAAAAGAAGGTAAGCCACCTGGCTGAATTATTAATTTTATAATAATCACCTTTGTTTATTACAACAACAGAAGATAATCCGGTAGATAAATAATACGTCATTTGTAATTCTAATTGACCCATTAAATGACGCAAGTAATATTTAATTTGCATAAAATAAAATTTACATGTATAGGAAATTCACAAATCCACAAATAATATTTCCAGTGTTGCTAATATGGATGTTTCACTAAACTGGTGTTTCATCTATTATTATAAAGGGAAGTGGGACTGAATCAGAAGCTTTAGTTTTTCAGAAGATCATGGGGCCTAATATTAATTCGAATTTCAAATTGACATTTTCAGTAATTCCTGAACAAATGAGTCCAAACAATCCAGACACACAACAAAGTGATTCTAGGCATCGGTTTTCCATTTTGAGATATGGAATTCTAAAGATCTAAAGAATATTTAAAAAATTTTCCACTTTTACACATTTATTATTCAACTACTACCTCTTACCGGCGACATTGTTCATGTAAAAAAATCAGTACAAAAAAAAGGAGTAACCCGGGTTACTCATAACAACCTCCTGATTAAGTCTGTGGTCTCGTTGAAGTTGGTTTCCGAGAATATCCCAAATAAACAGAAGCTTTTTAAGGACTTTACAATTTACAGATACTTAGACAGTTATTATTTCAATATTGCAGACAAACACCTCACTTTTATTTACATGATGATGATGATGATGTTGATGACCATGATTATGATCATAACTACCTAAATGTTTTTCATATCTACAGTAACTTATTGATTCCATTGTTCTTAATTTTAGAGAAGAAAGAAAATCAATTACTACATTTTTTTAATGGAGACACATCGTCATGAAATATCGCAAGGAAATCGGTATTAGTTGTGTGAAAAGTGCGTCGCTATGAGAGCAAACATAAATAAATAGTCACTTTCTAATCTCGTGGCGCACCATAAACCCCAATGAGTCATAAAACGGCAAAATAATGGCGTGTTGTCGTCGTTGGAGTTATTTTAAACGTTGTAGATACTTCAGAGAAATGGTCTTCTTCTCGCGAGTTAAAGCCAACGCGTACTTCGTAAAAACAAAGAAAAGCGGTGAGTTCGAAATTATTATGGTCTAAATTTTTTTTGTGATCTAACTACAAATTTACGGTTTTCGATATTTCCCGTTACTTGTGCTATGACACTGCTTCTTGCTCAATATCATATAACTTATAAATCCGATTTTTTCACAGCTCTAAGGGATTACAGACCTGACTATTTGATATTAATTTTAACTGGATATCTTAACGCGTTCCTGAGAAAAAGCATCTTGACAAAAATACAGACGGATAACGACGTGATCCTAAAGGGGGTTCTTGTTTTCCTTTTGAGATACGGAACCCTAAATATCTTGTTCAAGTAAAAATAAAATAAGCAACGTAAAGATTCTAGTAGGAAAGTTGGTTTTCTGACACGAAGGAGATTGTGAGTGTATTTTTTTTTTCTGCTATGTGGGAGTAACGAATGTAACGAATGAAAGACAAAGTGAATAGACCCCATATGCATGCGAAGGACTACATTATTTTGTACCAGCTGTAGCAATCTTATCGGAAGTATGGCAAATAACATTTTCGACAATAATTCCAAAGAGGTTTCAGCGCTTCTAACAAGTCAGCGCACCTTTATTAAAATGCACGAAATTGTGCTTTGGCTCTTTGCTTCCNGAATTGAAAAGAAAATTCAAAATTTATGAAATTAAAGGGCAAACTTTCTGGCGATGACATGGCCAATAATTTTGAACGATACATTCCTCATACAGACGATTGTACGACAAACAACCCATTTTCTTTTTGTGGAATGATCTACTTTTCAGAGGAAAGGAATGAAAAATATTCCGTCATAAACTTCGCCTGATTGTTAATACTATCACGTAAACCATTTAATTTAGTGAAATGTCCTGTTTTATTATTTTTCATGATCTTCCTTACATATTGTGGTTATAGTTTCTTCTATTACGACGCTATTCTAGGAAAATCTAATTATCGAAATCTATTTCATCTCCAATATTTATATTGTTTTAAAATATACTACACACCTGCTTGTAATATTATTATGGATATTGATACGATATTTTCTTCTAACGTAATTGTACGAAGTCATTTCACCACCAGAACCTATCCAAATTCCCTGTAGGTAGGAAAGTACTATTTCCGTATGAGAAATTTCATTTGTTCTTTTTGTCTTTCGGTCAATTTTTATTGAAGAGAAGAATGAAAAATTTCAAATCAAATACTGTCTTCTATATTCATATAAAAAAGTAAGTAAATGCTGTAATATTCAAGGTGACAGTTCCTTATTTATTGAGATATAACGTACATTAAATACTAAATAAAACTCTCTTTTCAGTTCTCACATTCGTACTATCTCCTGATTTATGTCATCCTCAGTTATTTTCTGAGATTCCCTCATTCGTATTTTGTATCTAACACTATTTCTGAAAATGTTTTCGATAATATGTACAATCGAGAGAAACAAGCGAAACGTGACCATTGTTTTAATCGTAACAAAATGCCTTTTCCCAAATGTCAAGTTCATGTTCAACAGTTACAGATAATCGCGCAATCCTTGATGCCTCTTCCTTATAATGCCAATGAAAAGGTTACAGCCCATAAATATACAATAGGCTGAAATTTCAATTATTTATTGAACTTTAGAACGGTGTTGTTTTACATTTTATTAATCGCCCTGGGTACCTGATAAACGCAAGAAATGCTCAGGTCGCATTCGATGTAGTTGAAAATAAAAAATAATACATAATAAAATATATATATCGATTAGAAAGTAAGCATATAATAAGATTACAGGACAACGTTCTTGTTACCTTGATGCACAACCCACGTAACGCTAAGCATTTACTACAATACAATATTAGATACACATTCACGCAGGAAGAATGAGATTGCGAGTATCTTGGGCTCCACATGAAAGACACCCATGTAGGTATGTATTGAAAATTGTATGTAAATCCATTATGCTGTATATCACATCCAATTTCCTCAAAAAATACACTTTGTTTTCTGTTTTGTTGCTGCAAGAATTTAATGCTCGTAACTCATCTTTTTCATATGCAACACTCTTTGAAGGTTAGTTCATAATTTTGGATTTTTCACATTCACCAATCTTCTGACGACCATCATCGATTTTGAAAAAATAAATGAATGATAGCTTATTGAGTTCGCTTTAAATCCAGCATTAATTTTCTTTTTTATTATTATTATTTTCTGTACAAAATATATTGTGTATGATTCGTTCAACTACCTCTAAATCTAAAGTCAAACTTTTCGCGTGGATTAATGGATCAGAGGCAAACCCAACTAGTGGAGTTATGTAGTAGTAAGTCCACAAAAACAAACTTAAATTGTTTAATTGCATGCTTCTATTTAAACCTGCTGGAGAGTGGGACAAATAATTTAATTTTAATTCCATAACAACCTGTAAGTACGTGAGTGTTGATTGAGTTTAGAATAAGACCGTTGTTTGAATTCATTAGATATTTCAGTACCACTTTTGTAGGCAACTAGAAGGTCTATTTCGCGATTATGATGAAATATGAGGGATCTACACCAAGTACTTTCATTCTATTTAATGTTCTTTTTATATGTTTAAGATTAATTGCATCAAGGCTCTGACCTACATATAAGCTACTTATCGCAATTTTTACAGTTGATACAGATTATTCCAAGTTTCTCTTGGATTTTTATTGTATATTAGGCCGGATCCGATCCGACAGGACTTGAACCTTGGCGAAGCTCCTGTAAAAACCAGAGTAGGTGAATCGGCTTGCGAGTTCCGATGATTTGCGAAGGTGCGCAAAGCATAGACGGTGAGAGCGTCGGAAAAGAAAAGGTTAGAAGCGTTCGAAATGTGGTGTTACAAGTGAATGATGAGGATACCGTGGATAGAGAA